ATATCCATCTTCCTTCCATCTATTACATTCAAGAGGATGCATCTTAGATTTGTATTTACATTACCAAACCAAAATTTCAACAAATTAAAACCTTTAATTACTACAACACCCTTCCTTCATTTAGTACTGATGAAGCTGATATATTATGATGACAAAGCCATCATTCTCCTACTGAATTTGGTACATCTTCAGTAGACCAAAACCTTTGTGTTTTTTCTTCCAAAAAACACATAGATTGAGGAAAGTGTTAGGGCTCATCATGTTCTTATTTTCTCCTACCTCCATAAATATTTATACACAATTGGTTTCAAATTTAACCATCGAAAAATTGATCCCCTCTATTATTACCAGAATCTACCACAATGAAGAGAGAATCCCAAAGTTAAATATTTTCTCGGTGACCAAAATCTAGGCTAAATTTTGTTGGATCTAAAGGGGTAAAAGAAAATGTATTTGGTTAATTTGTAATTTCATATATATGTTAAAGTTACATATACATATCATAGGCAAAAAAAGGTTACATGTTTAATTTTGTGTGTTAGGTTACATATTTGGACAGCTATATATACTTGTCGTTTTGTTCATTTTGAGATATCCAAGCATACCTCAATTGAGTATTCTCCTCCTCTCACAAGAATTCTCTTTTCTTTTTGAGTTCTTGTTCTTGTTTGTGTTGAGAGAAAGTGTCTAAGAGTTCTACCAGATTCGGATAGTTCGAGGTTGTTGTTTTATCGGAGTTAATCGGTGTATCATGCTGAGACGATCGCTGTAGTCTGCTAGCAACTTGTGCAGAGCGAATAATTGTCTTCAAGTCAGTGCTATTGAAGCGTGCCTCGACTAATTTAATTAAGTTTGTGGTGTTCATCAAGTTGTCCGAATTTGTATTATTGTAGCCAGTTACGTTGTAATCTGTTTACCAGTGTTATTCAGTTTACATATACAACGTATATTTACCCAACAGATTTCACATATAAAAATAGTCCTCATAACAGCTATGAGCTCCTTAAGTAAAATTTACTTCAAACACTTTAGTTCACTTGTGAGCTTAAAAATTTGTACAAGATCACCAAGCGAGTGTTAATTAATATTAAATGGGGAGAAAATTATATCATAAAGATTCATACTATGTCAAATCACCAAAACACAAAACTTAAGTTCACGGGTGACGATGAATTTCAATCTTTTATGGATATCTTAGCATTTTTGTTAAATCACCAATGAGAGATATTTGGAATAGAATGTTTAATATGGTACTTTTTAAATTTTTGTACATCATGTTGTGAATTAAAAAGTAAAAACACAAACCTAATCAAATTAGGTGCTAAAAAAGTATATCTTCAAGCTGGAAAATAAATATTAGAGTTAATGGGCAATGATTGATACACTTGTTGTGAGAGTTTGGGGGGCATCAATGGTTTTACATATTCTTGTGGGACACATGATCTTAATTTAAATAATTTGGAGTCAATAGCTTGAGCTTTCAAGTTTCACCCATGTAGATCAGTAATTTTCTGGATGTGACACACATTAATGGGGGCACTTTATTTTTTTTTTAATCACATAATAAAATAGTTAATTAACTGGAAAAAGGCATAAAGGAGCTGGATATGAACTAGCTATATGCCCATTTCATTAACTTTTGGTTGGATAAAATATTAAATTTCAAGATAGGATGATAGCCACTAGAGTAGTTGAAAACCATTTTTCTAGACCCGCTAAACAAAATAATTAATTTTCTTGAAACTTTTACGAGACAACTACTTAAATCCTAAAGAAATTCACTGTGTCCGAACCAATTTAAATTTCATGAGACAACTGCCTTATCTTAATATTAGTTGTTAAAATACATGTAGGATTATTAAATCTTAGTTTATTCACTTTTTTACCGACAATCATCGTCGGCTAATCTATGGTGGTTAAAAAAGATATCATCTTTAAAGCGTAATCTTGCATGGTTAAGATCCACCGGCACCAAGCCAACCACACTTTTTTTTTTTGTGACAATTGAGAGTGTTTCCCACCTCCATCCCTTTGTCCACAAGAATCCAAGAGAGAGGAAAAAAAAAGTAATTGACTTTGAGATTTCACTAGCTGGGTTGACATTTTAGTACAAAGTTTTTGATATCTTTAAAGCATCCAAAGCTTGAAAACACACTTTCACTGCTCTCTCTCTTGCAAGATATAAAATAAACAAAATGGGGTTATGATGGGAATATTGGAGGAGGAGTCAATGGCTACACAGACTCACTTGGTGTTTTCTTGTCTCCTTGGCTATATTTATCATTCATCATGAAAACTCCTTCTGCAGTTTCTCAATTCTGCTTTCAACTTTAAAATGTTAACTTTTGCTTTTGGAAGAGATGAGGCCAAAGCTTACAGAGGTGGGTTATTGGAGACATGGAGAGCCCACCAATTCTGAACAAGGGCTGTGATCCATTGACTCATATATCTATATAATGTAAATATATAAAAGATTATGTAATTTTGGTATATGGGTGTAGACTATAGAGTGGTTTTTGTGCAAAAATTAACTCAAAATCATCACTTTCCCAACCCCATTTATGAGGGTCCCAAAAGTTGTCTTTTGGTGGAGAAGAAGATGACACATTCTGTCATGCACCAAAAGTAGCAGAGGTTCATTCACAAAAAATAAAATAAGAGAGAGAGAGAGAAAATGAAGAAAACCCCACACCCACTTTCTCACTCCTCAATTTGGTGCCTTTGCTTGCATTTTACACCTCTCTCTCTTTCTCTCTCTCTGAATTTGTATGCATGATAAGAGGTGTAAAGGAAGACATGGGGATGGGGATAGAGAGAGAGAGAGAGAGGAAGAAAAATCCCAACTTTAGGGGAATAATACACATCATGTGAAGCAAAACGCCAAAAACTGTTCTATCTTTGCTGCTAATTATGGCTTTTGCATCACATAATACATGCCATTATGATTTGGAGTAATCCTAAAGTATAAGAATTTGTGTTTAAATATGTCTGTGATCAGTTCTGATTAAGAAAAAGTTGAGTGGAAAATGGAAGGAGAGATTTTGTGGCCATTCTGATGCATGAAATTGCAATTGGCTGATCCATAGAGATCACGTGCATTATAAAGATCCAATTTTTAGATGTCCCAATGAGAGTTATTGGGAAAGGTCCATATCATTCTTTTTGCACATTCCAAATGGGAGGGGGGAAATTGAAGGAAATAGATCACTGATTTCTTGATTTAGTTAACATCGGTAAGATTTAAAAGGTTAGATAATAATTCTATTTTTGTACCATGATCTTGAAAATGTCATTCTTTCATATATGATACACAAGTCATTAGTAGTCTCGTTATGTCGACATTTTATGCGAACAACGTATGAGCAATTTATGAAAACCATCTAAAGCAAGTATGTAATTCTGGTAAGTTTCAAACCATTTTCAAGTGCACCATCGTCATGTAACATGAAAGATAAGCTTGAAGAAAATATGATTGAACATCTAAAGTGATTTTTTTTTTTTAACTGAGAGTCGGAGCTTTGCTCTCCTATATCTAGGAACACACACGTCCGCTCCAAAACTTGGATTTGAGAGATATTAAAAGTTTTTTGGTATTAAGCTGACGAGAAGGTTCAAACTTGAAACATCTAAATTGGTATGACCAAAACATTCTAGGACCTTGCTAATTGGGCTGCCTCTAGAGGCATCTGAAGTGATTTCTTACAATGTGATATGAATTATCATGTGATTTACAGAAAAGAAATAGAAAAGGAACGAGCAATGAAACCCACCCAAAAGGACAAAAGGGAATTTATTCTACTCAAAGCTACATGAGGGAGGATCCAAAATTCACAATGGTGGCATGGCAGTGGCAATTTGAAAAGATATTATTAGATTTAGAGTGGCTTGACCAGGAGATGGAGAGGACCATGGAGCAAAGAAAGTGTTTGATTTCCAAGGAATGGCCCTTTGATAGGGACTCTACAGAATCTGTATAGGACACCATCTAACACTCTTGGAGAAAAGTGGCTCAGATTTCAATAGTAAAAGCCTGTGAAATGTGGTTTTGCTTTGTACACGTGAAGCCTCAACCCACATGTATTTTCATTTCTATATATATATTTTTCTTTTTGTTTTTCAGAATCTAGTATGAATATGACCAGCACAAAATGAAAAAGTTACTTACTTTTTTCCCCCCTTTTGAGACCTGTATATTGCAAAGAGAAGGAGTTACTTGGTAACATATATCATGAAAACTAAGAAAAAGACAAGCAGGTTTAATAAGAGGTTAAAATAAACAGAAACTCAATCTTTCTTAATCTTTTTTTGGCTAATCCAATGCAGGATCAAGCAAATAAGCAATATTGCTATACTCTCTGTCTCATATTGATCAGGAGATTCAGAAAAGGTAAGGTTAAAACCAGCCCAAGGAGTTGGGCCAATGGATCCACTTTAGAAGGAGCTGATATGAATTTGTAATTCAGACAGCTCAAGGTCAGGCTAAACAAAGTTACTGCTTGGTCAGATTATCAACCATTGATATAATACAGTGAGCACTTGAAGGAAATGAGATAAAGTTTGATGAAACCAAAGAATGGGAATGCAAGTTCTAAATTCCCTTAGCTCAAGTGAAAGATACATAGTAGAAGCAACCTAGCTTGAATGAAGCGTAGGATATATTACAACATGAAAAATAGAGCAAGATATGGACAAAGTTGGCACACCTGTCCCAAAAGATGTTCCGGGTAGTTCCCTGCAGTGTTTAGTAAACAGAAGTTGTTGGAGAAGTTATAATACAGTTGCACACTACTGTGTGGTCATCACTGTCTCGTTATTTACAGGTTCAAAATATCCAGCAGTAGAAGGTTGAATCTATTATTTTCTGCTGTAATTTTGAAGATTGATATCGAGATGCTTTATCAACTTGCCTACACTCCTTTTATTCCTAGAACACGACCAAACACTACGAATGTTTATTCTTTTTGTACATTCAATACAACCCAGACCTGACCATCTCGTCGCCCCATCTCCTTTCCTTCCATTAAAATGCTTCCCACAAAAGTTTCAGGTAGATCAGCTTTAATATGTACTGTGCCAATCTGTTGCAGCTATTTCAAATACTAGGCTTCAAAATTGGGGAATTTGAGTGTACGGCTGCTCTTTGAAACGGATTTTGTTGTCTTTTTCAGCTAATATGTTGATGGGGATCCTTACAACTAAATTGGCCAAGGAAAAGTGTTTACCTTTTCTCTCAGCAAAAGCTAGAACACTGCCATTTCAAAACACACAAAAGAAAAAGGAAAATAAAAGAAAATACTGCTAGGATCAATATGTTACATTACTAGTTCCATCATTTCAATTCAACCATTTAACTTATTTTTTAGGTGGGGAGCAACGTAAATAGCACTAATACTACAAAACAGTGAATCTAATATTTGCCAACCTAATGCAACCATTCAAACAGAACAATCGGCTTACTCACTTCAGTATTTGAGATGGTATAAAATCTAGCATAATTTTGCCTGCTACATTCTGGATCCTCCCTAAGTAACATGTGCTACTGAAACCTATATGCTACAATGCTGCTAGTATAGACTGAGTGAAGTAATACTAAGACAACCAAAGCTGGTATTGAGACCTCAATTTCCTTATAATTGTTGACAAGCGTCATTCACCTTTCATCAACAATCTCCCATACATCAGTTCTCTGAAGAAGCAAGATCACTTTTATCAGAATTCAGATTTATATTGGGCTGAGATTTACCACCTGATGCCACTTCATTTTGTTGATTTTCTTTTTTATTTGATTTGAGAAACCGTCCACCACAACCTCTAGCTCTCCTCAATGCATGCAAATGTCGAGATTCATGCAAGTATGGCTGCACAATATATTGAAGCTAAGCAGTCAAAATCCAAAGAATGAAGCAACATGAAAGGAAAGCTAACCAAGAAGTCTTTCTCACCACCCACCCCCCTCCCCAATTTGATAGGTTCTGAACTTCTGATAGAAAGAGTAAAAAGGGTGGGGAGGACTACCACAACTACCACCACTTAGTACAATGCTAATACTTCATCTCACGTCACACTTCAATTAACAGAATCAGCTCTTTCGTCTAACTACCTGACACCTACCTATACCATTTTTCCCCCTAGACACCTACCTAGACCATTTTTCCCCCTTCTTTTATAGTATATACTACGGGAGGCCTATCACAAATACAATTATGCACACGCAGTATTTAACACTGGGGTAATAGTTGTGCTTGCATACCTTCCTAGACTTCAAAGCTTTATTTTCTGATTCAGCTTTTGCACGGGACTGTCGACGTCGTAAAATGCCATGATACTGTTTAGCATTCACAAAAACAGGCTCCTCAACTGCATCTGTTGGCAAAGGAACCCCAGCTTGCTGAATTCCCATTAGTTGAAGATGGACCTAAAATGAGCAATACACAAGAAATCAAGTAATGACTAAAAAAGGTAAAACAAACCAATATATCAAAATCAGCAAGTTATAAATCATATAGATAAAATAATCTGATAAATTAAGCTTTCATTTCTTTATGGTTTTAGAAAGCCTACGATCCATGTATCTACAGCGAGTTATCGTATTCTCCAAAGTTAACAAAATAATTATACCCTTCCAGGCTGTATGTTGCTTCTATCATTTTATTCAAAGAGGACTCTTTCACGATTCCTGTTTTTCATTAGAATCAACAATTGTGATCTTTAAAGAGGAAAAAAAATGCACCAAATTCTTTACTCCCATTTAGTGTTCTCTTTATAAACTATTTTTCTGGTTTTTTTACCTCTTCTTTTTCAGGGAGAACATGATAGGAAAGATAAAATCGCTCTCTTTATAAAAAAATATTATAAGAAACAGACAATTGTAGTTTTTCAGGCGGGGTACCCTCTACCCCCAGCCTGTAGGGTCAAAAATTTTGAACAGAAAAATTCAACGTTCTCCAAAGGAGGAAGGTTTACCATTCCTTGATCAATTCTCACCAACATTACTTGATGTCTCTATTCAAAATGTCAGCCAAAATTATTGACATTATTGAAAAATAAAAAACCACTTACCATAGGTTGCCCACCATAGGGCTGTGGAGGATATGGTTGAGCATCATAGGGAGTGAAGATGCTTCTGTAGTAAGGATCTGGATATGGATAAGCTGGGGGTGCCTTCACCAGAGAAGTTCCAGAAATCCAAATTAGTTAAATAAGCTCTAAATAAAGCCATTAATAACAAATAGTAAAACTAAAAACTAGATTCTTTGTCTAGAAAAGGGAAACAACCACTTAAAAAAACACCATCATAACTGCAAATGTCCAATTAAAATCAGAAACTGTCCCAACCATTATAATGGTCAGAAAAAACTCTCAATCTCACCAACTTTTGTTTCCCGTGGACAGAGACCAAGAATTCATTTATTTAAACACAAATTATGGTGAGTATGGCCAAGATCAAGAACATATCAAATTATGCTCATATTAGGGTAGATGAAAGATCATTGTCTCCGGTGGAAAGTGACAGTGACTAAAGTGAAACGTTACATCATGCATAAATTAGGTGGATTAAAGGCAAAACATGATTTCTATCAACCATCCATCTTTATATAACTAGAAGTGAATACAATCCTCTAGAAGTAGAACAGGAACTGATTATGAATATACTGCCAAATGAAAGTAGGCTCTCTCTCTCTCTCATGACACCCTCCCTAAAACATACACGTCTCTACAAAAACCTGGTCATAATTACCCACTTCCTACATTAGGCTTAGAATTAACACTGCATCCACCGAAACTTTGTTACTAAGTATACAGTTTCCACATTCAGATTGCAACTGACAAGAATTGTTTGAATGTCAATCATATTGTATGTATTTTGGTTACACATCTGTAGAAAAACTAATTGCAAATGAGAAGAAATAGAGCAGAATTACACACTTCTGTTTCTAGCAAGGTCTTTCGGATATTAAAAAATTGAAGCAGAGGGTAGGATGCGATACTAATGGCACTTACAAAAGAAGATAAAGTGAAATCATTCTGAAGCTTCATTAATAAAAGAGCAGACTAGGGAAATAATTTTACAGGAGCCAAAAACAACGAAACCATATTCCTAGGTTAGATAAGGTCCACAACACTTTTTTTTTTAAATAGATAATGGCGGGAGGCTTAGCTTTGGAGAAGTCGGGCTCTCGCTGAAAATTGTTCGTTTCTTATTCCATTTTTTATTATATATATAGGGAGAGAGCGAGAGAGTGAAAAACTAGATGAAGTCCACAAGAAGTCCCCCAACCTCCAAGCACGCATGCAAGGACATGAAACTTAAGCCATCGGACTTCAGCAATTGCTATGGATTAAGATCCCCACACAAAAAAGCCCTGCTCTCTTTCAAAAACTACTGTACTACCAAAAACATGCCACATCACATTTCTCATTGTGTCTTATCTTGTAATATAATAAATTTTATAAACATTAGTAACTAATAATAGTTATATAACGTATTATATAATGGTAACTAATAATAAATTTTATAAACTGTTCAGTGAATGTGGTTTGAAAGGAATCAAAGAGTTTTCAAAGGCAAAGAATCTTTGGCACTGTGTTTCGGGAAGTTCGTTCTTTGTGCCATCTTTGTGTCTAATTTACAAGATGTTTTGTAACTACAATGTTGTGAATTTTAATGCCAAATGAAAGTCTTTTTTGTACCGTTGGCTCTTTGGAGATTGCTTTTCCCCTTCTTTTGTAACTAGATCTCCTTGATAATGAAATTCTTATAGAAAAATATATTAGTTATATTATATGCATTGCTCTCAAAAGTGAATCTATGCCTACTTCTTTGAATAATATCTAAATAAAGCATTATTGCTTTTGTTTTCCATTATCCCATGCTTCATGATACTATGTTAATCATATATTAAATTATCAATTTTATTTTTATTTTTGTGTGCCTCTGCTGAATTTATTTATTGAAAAATGCACTAGTGCCTCTACGCTTTAGAAAGAACTCTTGGTTAGATAATATCAAGATAAACATACATATAATTTTTTTTATAAGAAACAATTTCATTGATAGTGTGGAATTATAAAAGGTGGGGAGGATCCCAATTCAAGGGAGTTACAAAAAACTTCACCAATTGGATAAAAGAAAAGGAATATTTATCAATTGCATTGATAAAAACATACATATCATTTTCTAAACTGGAAAAGGCAATTATTTGCTATTAATATAGGAAGCTAAATTTATCGTTACATATAACATATTTAATTTTTTACCATATAGTGCAAAATATATAATTAAACTTTATGGTGTGTAAGCCACATAATAAAGGAATGAATAAGATATATATAATTACGTAAATTCAAATTATTGATTTTAATTCTATATGTTTGGTGAATTAACTTTCTTTCACGAAACTTTATTTACAAGACGAGTCATACGTCAGGAGAACATTATTGAAAATTATTTTATCACATTATATACTTTTAAATACTTCAGACTAAAAATGCATTACTGTGAATTATAGTTATTGTTCATAAAAATTGCATATTGAATTTTTTATCTTTTAAAATGTAAATAATAAGTACATCATGTGTAATTCATAGCATTTATCAGATAAAAAAAATCCAAACCAGATAAACCAATTTTATTGCATAAATGAAACGTTAAAAAGTGAGACAAAGGGAGAAAAAAGTCCCGTAACAAGGGTTAAGAAAGTACTTCCCAACTGGCTAAAATTGAAGAAATGGAATAGTTACCAAAAACCTTGGAAATACTAGAATAATCAGATGTGAAAAGAGGAAATATCATTCAAAAATTTCTCTCTAGCCCTTCCAATACCATAAAAAATATTTCGGTTTCTTTCAAACCAAACTGTAGGAAAATATTACAAAAATATGCATTACTATTTTTCAAGTTACCAAAAGGTAGACGGTTTCATTAAAAAAAAAAAAAAAGTAATAACATAGTAATGATATAAAAAACCCTTCTTGATATGGTAAACCATATCATAAGATAACCTGGGAGTAGGAAGTTTTTCTGTTCCTTTCTTCGTACAACCTACTTCTAACTATTTACTATATTCACAAAAAATTTGTTTCTTTTTTCAGAAAAAGAAATTAAAAAAAAAAACAAATGAATGAATAATAAGGCTTGAGCAGAGCTTTTGCAAACCAAGTTCCACAAAGGGATTAAGAAAAGTAAAAGAGAGAGAGAGAATAGTTTGAATATAGTACCATAGCATGTCCTGCGCCAACTTGTGGAGGTGTTACATACTGATTTGGGGTTGGGATGCTGGGTTGATTCAGTCCATTTATGACAGATAAAGAATGATTCTGAGATTCTGAGTACTTTTGCTGCTCATCAGCCTCACCATTATCTGGACAACCAGTTTCCAGAGCAAAATTTATCCAGGCCCAGTTGAAGTAAAAAGACAATATTGTAATATCACAAAGCAATCAGTCGAGCCCATAAACTCTATTGAGCACATAAGTGGCCAAAAAAATCAGCCTATAATATGAGGTACATATAGAAAAACGCATTCAAAAAAATGGAGCAAAAAACAAACGATATTCTTACATAGAAATGGAACTCACATAAAGATCTCATGGTACTTCCCAAAAAGAATGCTTTAGAGACTATAATCTGAATGATAAAGATGCCATATGGCAAAGAATTAATGCAAGCAAGCATAGAAAGTCTTCTTTTGGTCAATCTACTTCTCCTTGTTGGAAAACAGAATACCAGCCAACAAAATCCATGGGTTTCAATTGCTAAATGAAACTTCCGATAGAGTTAAACTAAGTGTGGAGGAAAGGCTTCTTGGCCTTTTCCAAGAATTTATGCATTAGCTGACAGAAAAGAAATATTTCTAGCTGTTGATCTCAATGAGGAACTTAAAGCGATAGAATCAACAGCCTTTATGCATCTCAAAGAAGGTGTTTTACTGGCTTTTGCCAATGACACTCAAGCATGGAAGACATATCAATCTGGTGACTTTTCTTGTAGAACTCTTTTTTGTGACATCACTTATACTGATTCACAATCCCTCTGATTGTGCAGCACTTTGTGGAACCTTAAGTGTCTAAAAGAGTTGGGTGATCTTTGTTTCGGGAGGGTTGAACACTAATGATAACATTCAGGAAAGGAATTTGGTTTTTCTATATCCAATGGGTGATGCAGTACGTGCAAGGGTACAAATGAAGATGACAAGCACCTGTTTCTTGATTCAGAGTCAGTGGAGTCTTTCCAATTGCTTTAACATTAATATAGTCTCCCAAGAAATTAAAAGAGTTCTTCGTCTAGATGCCATGCAGCCATCCTTTTCTTGAGAAGACTAGCATTTTGTGGATCAATATTTTTTGAGCTATAATTAGAATGTTGGAGTTCAAAGAAAAAAATAATAATTAAAAACTTACCTAGAGGGAACTTTGGGTTTAAATTCATTTAATGCCTCCTTTTGGAGTGCCCCTAAAAAGCTGTTTGTTACTACTCTATCTCTTCATTAGTTGCCTATTGGAGAGTTTTTGTTCATCTCTATTGGCATGGCCAGGCGAATATCTTTCTTTTGTTCATCTTAGTTAAAGTCCTGTTTTCCTTTTAAAAAAATAACATGTAATACATAATTCAAGAAGCAAACTATACCACAGATGCTATTTGAGTGGTGAAAAGAGCATTCTATCATGAGGTAAATCAAAAGTAACCGAATAAGAGAACTTAAGGACAGAAACAGCAACTATAGTTTCTGCAGCAGCAGGCAGAAAAGTTTGCACACATTCTCTCTTTTTTTTCAAGTTTTTGACAGTATATGATATAGAATATCAAACATTGAAAAATAAACACCATTAACACATGAACACAAGTCTGATCAAGTTACCAGAATAATCGTGGACAGAAGAAGTCATGGGGTTGTAGTGCAAACCAAACGAAACCTGACATCAAAGCCAACAAATCTGTCAGCCTGGTGATATTGGAACAGTTCACATATATCCGGAATGGGTGCAAGGAATAGAATAGTATGACCAAGGTCTGGCGACCACATTTCAAAACTAACTCCAACAGATATTGCATATACAAGAAAAAGCCCTAACTAATGCCAGGATGATTGCACAGCTATCCAACACGAATTCAGGATATTCAAGGTTAAATAACATCCTCAAAACTCATTTACATTATATCAATTGAAATTATTAAATAAAAATAATTATTTAAAAAAAAAAAGGTGAACGGTGACATAAACCAGTAACCTTCATATGGCATCATGACCAAAATAGCAGCAGGACCAGCCAGGACCAACTGGATTGTATTTTCCTTTTTCAAGTAAATAGAAATTTTCGGTGTTTAGATGTAAACTATGAGAGCATATGAAATCAACCCAGCACGAGTGGCAAACATCATGCAGGAAGTCCACAAGCTAAACTTATTAACTTCAGTCTTTTCAGAAGTCGAGAAGGTTGGCGCACACCAATTTGGATGAGATTGACGTACATAACATGTGAAATGCTTTTGGTCGCCATTATACCAGACATTGCAGAGTTATCTCAGTACTGTTAACAACGTATGCTTTGTGCATGATCACCCAACAAAGAAACCAGGAATCACATATGAGCAGTAAACCGAAGAACGATTACTTCACCACGTACTCATAATCGAGTCCAAGCAATTCGATCAACACAGACGAGACAGATAGTTGTCCAATTTCAAATAAAAACCGAACCCACAAAATATTCACACAATAATTCTCGAATTAAACAAGAGAAAACGTCAAACACAGGAACGGAAAAAACATAAAGATTAACTTAGTGCAGATGCATGGGTTGGAGAATTGATGAAGAAAGAAAGTAGGGTTTGAAAATGGAAACTTGACCTGGAGAGTGGGAATTCAGGAGGCGTTGTTGTTCTGGTGCAAGGCAGAGTTGAGGGAGGAGTTTTGTCTTTTGTTCTTCCTGTTGTGAGTTTGAGGAGACAGCGGAAGCTGAAGCTCAAAATCCAATTAGCATATTTGTTTCTCATTCTGATTTTTCGGCTGCTGCCCCTGGGCCTGAGCGGCGATGAGAATGGGGCGGGCAGTTCGGGCACAGAACTGACCTGACCGAAATGATGAGGTGGCTAATCTAGACCAGGAACTTCATGGGGCCCACTCTGTGAGTGGATGCGATTCATGAGTGGGAATCGCCTGCGGCTACACCCCATCGTCCGAGATATGCTGCTCCCATGACGTCATCAAATCATTTTCATTTTTCACACAGAATAAAAAAACACGTTTTTATTCTTCCACTGTGCTGCTCGTCATTAAACCTAAATATAACTTGCCATTGAAACGCGAGTGGAGGTTTTTTTCGATCATTTTTTACTTATTTAAATGCAGTATACAATTTGAAAATTGAAGATAAGTATTTTAATCAATTTAATTAAATATGTATCGATATAGATATTTATTATCATTCTTGAGTTAAATAGATGATGACCAATTTTCTTTTTTTTTTTTAAACAACCGACGATGAAGTTATACAATGGTTGAATTCTGTTGATGTTAGAATTCTGCCTTTCGGGATCTCGTCGAATTTGTACAAATCTTCCGGAACAAAGGGATTGATGAGACCTGTTTACAACACTAAAACCGTTGGCTTTTGCCACATGGGCTCCGAAGTAGAGTAGTCGGGTATAAATAGTAGGGTTGTTAGACATCATATCTCTAGGGTTTGACCCTAATCCCTTCAGCTGAACCCTAATTCTCCTAGGTTTACATTCGTCGAATCCTCATGCACTCAAGAGATCACAGAATGAGCCTGATGATGTACTATTCAGGGCCAAGACCAAGTCGACTCGAACTGGGCTTGCATGGGGTATAATGACCCTGGGTCGGCTACGGCCGACCTGGATCGATGGGCCCCAATCCGCTTACCTCTCTCCGAGTTCGCTCCTTCGATTCTCTTTCCTCTTTTCGGTTGCTTAGCTTGATCTCTATTTTCTCCCTATAACAAATTCTAACAAAATATTTAAATTTTAATAATGTATTTAAAGGTGTATTTTCATAAAATGTTAGTTGTATCATACATCAATCTAAATACATTGAAAGATTGTATGTATAGTTATTAAAGATATTTAACGAGAAAAATCTTAATTTGAGTCTAGTTCAAATAGATTAACACATATTTTCATGAGTTCGATCCCCTCCTCTATATGTGTTGTATAAAAATAAATACTTACATATTTCATTGTTGTTAGACCATCTAATTCTAGGAATAATAATTATAATGTCCGGGTCGAGGCATATTTATTTATTATTATTTTTTGTTATCTCCTGGTGTAATTAAACAGCAGGGAGCTGGAAAGGTAATAATAGTTTATAATTAACAGTATTCTTTACAATTATAAAATCCATCTCAGGCTATATTCAATGCTACAGCTCAGATTTCATTCAGAAAAAAAATAAAAAACATAAACAATAAACAACCAACGTTACTCTGAACTTCGAAATACCAACATATTTTTTAATCCTTCAGTCCAACGAAGGATGAAACAATTGCATCCACAGGTCAACTTTTGAACTGCCAGCTACTTAGATTATAATTTTTGTGTGAATCATCAATATTATCTGTCTACGTACTTTACAAAACTTTTAAAAAAAATTAAATAACTTATGTCTCGTATTATATATTTATTAGACCCTGTTTTTCTGTGTGTGTATATGTTTTTTAGTTCTAACACCGTTGGCATAATTGCATGGGTGTTTCGAGGCCATGATTGCTAATACAAATTAACCATTAGAGCTCAAGAAATTCGACATTTTTGTCGTAAATGGCTTAACCTTAATCATGCTCAGGTTGACATTAGAGCTCCGTATTTTATATTAAAAAGTTTCTATCATGTTTACAAATTGTGTTAAAATTTTACAAATACGGACGAAGGTGGTCACTTTTTAAACATACACATATCAAACATAAGTTTTGAAAGTATATAGAGTAAGATGAATAAAAGTTGAAAATACAAAGATCAAAATGAACTAAAGCTCGTTGGAAATATTTATAAATATGGTATAACTTTCTGTTTAGATAAATTTCTATCACAATACCTTTAGACATCCACCCTACATAATTATCATATTTTTTTGCGCTTTATTATATTTATAAATACTACCAAACTATTTCCTTCCCATTACAGTCCCAATAAAGTTTATAAAGTTGGGACCTTCCCCACATGTTGCACTTTATAAGGGAAAAAAAGTGACGATTTTTTTTTTTTTTTTTAATTTTCCTTAGTGAAGATTGAATTGTCTCTCCCACTTGAAGGAATGTAATTTAATCAACAATTTAATTACAAAGGTTGAAGTTGAAGCAGCCAACAAAACAATGGCGTGGGCCGTATATTTGCCAAATGAATCACCAATCACGTGAATAGTTGGAGCAACCAAAAGCCAAACCCGTCCCTTGCCAGTCTCCAAGGGGTCACACACCATCAAGCGAATTTGATCTACACCTCCCTTTGCTGACTTCCTTCTACTTCTGGGCATGATCCAGCAGCTCCTATAAGAACCTCCTCCTTTCGATAATCTTACCATCGCTTTCTTCCTGATACTCAGCCTCCGCGATTCGGAAATGGCCCACTCCACCTTTTCTCAGGTTGATTTTCAGTATCTCTTCTTCGCTCTTCTGCTTTGTTGCGTGTAAAACGTGGGAAATGCTGCAGAAGTATGATGTTTTTGGGGTTCTCTTCCGTTTTTTTGTTTTTCTTTTCTGGGTCTGGGATTAAGTCTAGAAATCTTCCCTTACTAGAGCTCAGTGGGGCTGTTGTTTGGTGGAATCCTAGGGTTCCATTATAATTCACTGTTATCTGTGTAGAAGCTCACGTAGTGGTTTGCCTTTGGTTATGAATCTAAATTTTTGGGTGTGCAATTTTTGCAGGTTTCTGTTGTTGTTCCAGTTGGAAGTGATCTGTCTGTCAAGAGATCAGTGTTTAAGGTTCTAAATTCTGACCCTTCTTTTTGCTCATACATGCAAGTAGCTTGGAAAAAACAATATGATCGATGGTATTACAGGATCTTGTAATTACGAGCTTTTATGCGCACAGTTATAACTTATACTTGTAGTATTGACAACAATAAACAAATGAAAGTACCGTAAGCATACGCATCCAAGATCATAACCATATGAATCATGTGAGATTTATACTTAGCTTGAGGTCTGGTCTGGTAAATTATCTGCCCATAGGGATAGTCTACATTTATTATTGGATCTGCTGGTTTTAAAGCACACATGGGATGGTTGAATTATTTTGTCTCCCTCTCTTGTCGAAGGTTCTAGTTGCTTCAATCTTCCGATGATGAATGATTTGCCATTAGATGAACTCCTCTGTTCGTACTTTCTCACTTTTGTTTCAATGGCTTTTAGTGGTTCGAAGATTTTATCTAGGATGAGACATGTATGGTGAACTATTCGGAAATAGAAATGCATTCGGCCTATTTCATACATATCATTCAAGTGGCTCTTTGATATTATTTCTCATTCTTTCTTTTGCTCCCGTCTATGATAGAAAGTTCTTTAGAGGGACTTCATGCAAGCTAATTTTATCGAACCTTGAAAGGAAAGGCATGTAAGCGCATTCGAAAAGTTTGTATGAAGAACAATAATAGAATGATTAATGGAAATAAAAGATGCTTATTATCTGTGTTGTTCTCTTGCACTTGTCAAGAAGACGCTGAAATTATACCTCTACATAATGTGTGATAATTTATTATTATTATTTCTTTTTGATAATTGGAAGAAAGAGCTTTTCTCCCTTATACACTCTACATAATGCGTGATAAATCTCTTAACAACTTCCTCTGACATTGGGGCAGGCAAATAGCCTAAACTTTCATGATAAGTCATGGTCACCTGTCTTAGCTCTGGACTTGAATCGAAGGAGCACTAGGGTGAGAGGTTGGCAAACAGTATGCATGTCAGTGCAACAAGCAAGTGTACCAAAGGTATCTGTTGCACCTTTACAACTTGAAGATGTCAAAGAGCCTCCATTGAATTTATACAAACCAAAAGAACCTTACACCGCAACTATTGTTTCGGTTGAAAGACTGGTTGGTCCTAAAGCACCAGGAGAGACTTGTCATATTGTAATTGATCATGGCGGCAATGTTCCCTATTGGGAAGGACAGAGCTACGGCGTCATTCCTCCAGTGAGTAACTTGTGACTTGGTCATTCCCTTGCAACTGCATTGTTTGATGTTCCTGCACTTAATGAGACTTTCACATTAGAATTTTGAGATCTTGGTTTTATTTCGATTTAAATGATTTTTTATCACGAATTTCCATTTATGATACAACACGTTTTGGAAATGACACACTCGGTCTAAATTTTGGTTTTAGATTTTACGTAACATACTACATTATTTCCATTTGTCTTTCACTTTCCAATTGCTAAAATTATTACAGTATCTTTACCTTCTTCTGTGACCTCTTACTTGTCTTTTTTTGTGGACTTCTTATGATAAGCTTCAGCTAAATAACATTTTACTTGTATCACAGGGTGAAAACCCTAAGAAACCAGGGAATCCACACAATGTTCGCCTTTACTCGATTGCATCAACTAGGTATGGCGACTCTTTTGATGGCAAGACTGCTAGTTTATGTGTTCGTCGTGCCGTTTATTATGACCCGGAAACTGGAAAGGAGGATCCTTCAAAGAACGGAGTATGCAGCAATTTCTTGTGCGACTCAAAGCCTGGAGATAAAATTCAGATCACAGGTAACTAATCTCATTTTGTCCATAGTGTCAGAGCTCTTTGTGGACTTGCTACCTATTCCTTGCCCCAGTACTAATAAGAACTGTTAAATATTGACGTTTTATGATTGATTTTATGCAATTAAAGCTTTGGCATCAGCTGTCAGATGTTTGGTTTATACATCTACATAATGTATGAAAATACACATCAAGATTCTTATTAAGAAAAATGAAATACATATCAGCATAGTCTACATTACCTGACCATCATGGGTTGACCCATCGGTCCAAAGGGACCAAGGTAAATTCTAAAGAATTTAGAGGGAACGAGTTCAAACCACGGTGACCACCTACTTAAGATTTAACATCTTACAAATTTTCTTGGCAACTAAATGTGGTAGGGTTAGATGATTGTCCCGTGAGATTAGTCGAGATACACATAAGTTGGCCCAGACACTCCCGGATATTAAAAAAAAAAAAGTAGTCTATATTACCTAGTGCCTAGAAGGTATAATGTACATCATAATTGATTGGAGATTTACTTGAAAATGGACCAGTGTATTGCAGCAACTGGCAAATTATTCTTTTATCCAATGCCTTTCATATATATTCTATTTCAAATTGATCATTCATTGATGAGGAGTAAGAGAGGAAAGCTATTACGGGAAGAACGAACAAGTGCACAAGAGGAGAATGGTGGATAGCTAGTATATTTTTGCTGTCTTTTTCCCTCCCTTTAGATAACCGTGTAATTATGATTACATATGGGGAAACAGAAGAATGATAAGGAGAAAACAAAAGATTCCGTGCTACTGGACCTGAATTTCACGCACTTCATATGTGCAAATTGGTTCTCTGTGCTCTCCTCTGAAAGTTTGTTGATTCAATTACAAACTTGTTATCTTTCTTTAGGGTGATTATTATGTAGTCATTTTGCTGTTAATGTAACACTAGCATCGGTTTTTCCAGGCCCATCTGGCAAGATAATGCTTCTTCCTGAAGATGACCCAAATGCCACCCACATAATGATTGCTACTGGCACTGGCGTTGCTCCATTTAGAGGTTATCTCCGTCGAATGTTTATGGAGTCTGTACCAACATTCAAATTTGGTGGCCTTGCGTGGTTGTTTCTCGGAGTGGCGAACAATGATAGTCTATTATATGATGATGAATTCAGCAAGTATCTCAAGGACTACCCAGATAACTTCCGGTATGATCGAGCTCTTAGTAGGGAGCAAAAGAACAAGACCGGAGGCAAAATGTATGTCCAGGACAAGATCGAGGAGTACAGCGACGAAATCTTTAAGCTCTTGGATGGCGGAGCCCACATATACTTTTGTGGACTGAAGGGGATGATGCCTGGAATTCAGGAAACTCTGAAAAGGGTTGCAGAGCAAAGAGGTGAGAAATGGGAAGAGAAGCTTTCACAACTTAAAAAGAACAAACAGTGGCACGTAGAAGTTTACTGAAGTTGCATAGATGTAGCAACACATCTCTTGTTCTGTGTTACTCTCGGCATTGCTCATCTTTCAATTTCATAGGTTAAGATGAGGAATAAGGTGGCTACCGCTACTGCTACTGCCATCGTATTCAGCTCGTCTCTATTGAACTACAGGAACGCTGATATTTCTTTCTTGATTACATAGACTAAGGAACCTATGCAGAACCTTAATCTGTGATAGTGTTTGAATATGCTTGGAATTGGTATAGACTTCAAATTTTAGAATTCAACTGTCAGCAAGCCTTCTGAGTTCAATATATGGGTTTTGATGAGCTCTCTTTGTTTGCTTATTGATCTTCACATAAAGTATTGCCTTTGCAGGTTGTAAGAAATTCAAGCATTTTAAATAACTTATAATTCTAATGGATTCAGTTAGCCAGTCCTGTTTCTGAGTACATTGCAAATGATTCAATGTATTCATTTCCTCAGTTTAAGAATTTTAAGTTTTTTTTTTTTTTTTTTAAGTCTCTTGTTTTATTTATGGATGAATTCAATTTCATCTTGAGATGTTTACTTTTATTCGTAGGATGTCTGAAGATTGAAGATACATTGAATCTTCTGGTCTTAGTTTTCCGTTGTGATATTAATTCTGGCAGGTCTTTTGAATTGTCTTTGTTTGTGGGTTCAAACTTTGAACCCTAGACGTCACAATTGTTTCATTTTTATGTTTATATTTTCAAATTGGTTTCTATTTACAAAATTGTACACAATGAAACCATTTAATATTTATAACTTTATTTTAAAAAATTTATTGAATATAATGTCCTAGCAAAAGTTTCAAAAGTATAAAAATCAAATTGGATAAAAATTGTAAGTATAGTGATCAAAATGAGAAAATAGAGTCTACATGAATAAAATAATATTTAAACCAAAAAAGAAAAAGAAAAATTAATATAATATTTAAACCAAAAAGGAAAAAGAATATTCCAAATTCCAATCAACATATAATATTCTGCCATACTTTTGAGGTTTTCTTTTTTTGTTTTGTTTACTTCCCATTCTCTTATTCTCTGCAAATAATAAAGTTAAAAAGTATGGAATTATGTTATAAGTATTTAAATAATTTAGAGCTCAGTTAATAAAGAGTTATATTTTCAAAAGATAAATTTGTTTACTCGCACCAAATATTTTAAAATGTTTTCAAAAGCATAATAAAAAACCGAAAATTAAATATTGGCAAAAAGGAAAAGAATAAAACCGCTACACGACAATCAGAATTTGAAAGCAACGATCTTTTTTTGATGAAAAAGCAGGAGACAGAGAAATTTAGAGATAAGGTTGAAAGAAAAATGGTAGTTAGTCGTTATGGACAATGTCACAGCGCAACGTGGCTTGTAAATTCTGCAGTTAAAAAGAAAATAAAGATGGCTGACAACCCCAAATTGAATAATTTTTCTATACTATATTCTCACCAAAAATTAATTAATTAATAAATAAAAAAACTGAATAATTCATATCCATTCCATTCCTCACAAGTAACAAACCGCCCATTCTCCCAACCCCAACAAAGGAAAGGGGGGAGAAAGGAGAGAGTTCTGAAAATTTCAATTACCCACATCAACGGGGTATCGTATCGGAGATTCTGATTTTCAGGGCCAATCTCCATTTTTCTCCATCTCCGATCGACGATTTTGCTCAACAGCCGATCTCACTGGGTATTTTTCTTTTTATTCTGGCTTGATCTTTTATTTACTTCGCCCTTCAATCATCGGGAAAAATCAATTTCTGCATTTCGGATGCGTTGCTTTTGTCTGGGTGTTTTTGTTCGAATTCTGCCCATCTTTAGCAATTGTGTTTAATTGGGTATTCATGTCGATTGAGCCTATTGGATGTTTTGGTTTAGATTGGTTATTATGGAGCCGGCTTTGAATTTTTATTTGCCTCCTCTGCCTAATTATACACGAAGCGAACCCTTTTCCTTTGAGCGATTTCTTGTTCTTAGGGATTTTTTTTTTATTTTTTATTTTTTAGCTTAGTTGCATGTATCAGGCGTTTTTCCATTTTGTAATATCTGTTTCCACCGTATGGAGTCCCAAAATTTGCTTGTTTTAGAGCTTCAGGAAACTTTTTCTTTAAAAAGAAAGAAATATTAAGTCAATTCTGGTTGCTGAAAGAACTTTTACTTTCCTTTTTATTGGACTCGGTCGTTTCTAACATGGGTTTCTGTTTGCTGGTTCTCATTTGCTGCCGATAGCCTCATTTTGAACTGGTACAATATTATTTTTAGCAATATTATATAATTTTATTCTAGCTATATCATTTTCGTGCGTATTTTTATTTGTTTTTTTTTTCCTATAAATTTATCTCTATCTTGATTCAGAGTATAAGGGGTCTTTAGAACTTGTTTTTTCTTTTTTGTCAAATTGTTTGAGGCAGCTTGTGGAACCATAGGATCTGTTGGATGATCGTCGTTTCCTGGCGGAGCAATGAATAATCATTCAATGGAACTTGGGAGGCCTGCCTCAGGTGGTATCCTCATTGAAATTGGAGAGTCACTATAGATTAACTAGTTAAAACTATTTTCAGCACATGTATAAGTTGTAACTCTTGTGGCAATGAAAATAATTTTTGTGCTTTTTCTTGTCTTGTTCAGGCAAAAGAAGGTTAAGGGACCTATTGCTTCAAAGGGATAATCGCGTCTGTGCAGATTGTTGTGCTTCAGATCCTAAATGGGCGTAAGTTTTGTTTAGTGGGTTTCTGAATAAAATGAAATGTTATACCCTGATGGAGAACTCGAAATTACTTGTTAAAGATATATATAAAAGACATAATGCAACATAAGCACAAAGTGTTGAACTGGATTAAGATATCGATTACGTCTTAATTTCTGCATACCGTGTGTTTTCTTTTAGAGCTCAATAACACTTGCTTGGATGCTTTTTGCAGTTCAGCAAATATTGGAGTTTTTATATGCTTGAAATGTTGTGGTGTTCACAGAAGTCTTGGTTCTCATATATCAAAGGTGAACGAAATAGTTCTTGGTCCCAAAAATTATGAGAGCAGATTATTACTCGATATGCCGTAAAGTTGAATATTATTATCATCAACATGGTTATACTTATATTTCTCTTTGTATATAATGTTGAAGATGTTGCTAGGCTGGTTCCTATAGTTAGTTACTAGATTCACAACTAGACACTATTTTTTTTTTCCAATGATAGAGTAAAGGAGTTGATAACAGGATTATTGGATATTTGATAATCACAAATAGGTTGCCTCAAATAGTATCAAACTCAACCTCTGGTTGAATCCACGGGTCTTTCCCACTGTGTCTTGGAGTTAAATGACAAATAGTTCTTAATTTTTTTTTAATGTAAGAAACTGATAGAATTTCATTATCAAAAGGCCAGTACAAAAGACAGGGATTACAAAAAAGTGCTCCAATTGGTGAAGATATTTACAAGAGTATAATTACTAAATTCTTTAGAGAGCATACACCAAGAAGAAGTATAGAAATGAACAAGATCCCGAAAGCCCTCAAGAGACAAATATTTCTCGTTGAATATTCGTTGATTCCTCTCGAACCAATTTCTCCAACAGATCGCGTTTGTTCAAAGCACCAAAGCATTTCCTTTAAAAATCGGACCATTAAGAAGCTGAATTAGAGCATCCTTGAAATTCTTAATTTTCATTTTCTATTACAATTGTGTTACATATTTTTCTTACATGGCTATTGATTTGAACCAGGTGTTATCAGTGACGTTGGATGAATGGAGTGAGGATGAAATTGATGCCATGGTAGAGGTTGGAGGAAATTCTTCAGCAAATTCAATTTACGAAGCCTTTATTCCTGAAGGATATACAAAACCTGGACCAGATGCCACCCATGAAAAACGTTCAAAATTTATTCGGTTAGACATGATTTATTAACTGTGAACCATGCATTTATGTTAAAAGGACTTTTGTTTACTTGCTTTTTTCTCTATTTAATTTTTAAGAATGAATGCTTATTATATTTGTTCTTTGTTTATGAACTTTTGTGATTTTATTTTCTCTAATTTTTTTATAGTGCCTTAAATAATGAGCCCGTTACTTTGTTTTGAGCATTGAATTTGATAGGCAATAGTCAACTATGAGCAGTACATTACAATAGAAGGGATTCAATTAACAGTCGCTGCTAATAATTTCACTCCATTCGTGTTTTCTACAATTTTTTTATACAGGTCCAAATATGAACTTCAAGAATTTCTGAAACCGAGCTTAAGAATTTTATCATCCAACTCTGACAAAAGCAATATCCAAGCAAACTTTTCTGCAAAGATCATGAATAGTTTTCGTTCAAAGTCTTCACAGAAATCAGTGAGCTCTTGCATACCTTTTCTCCATTAGTTTTCCGTTCGATTCTATACCTTTCATTAATGAAGATACATATCCGTCTCTCCTACATTTTAGTTTAGAGTAAAAATACACCTACATCTTTGCTTGGTTACCATACAAACATTTTCAAGGCAATTGGAATACTTTTTAATGTGGAAGTGTAAATGATTAGTTGTCGACTACCAACGATCCAGCCTACAATAGGGTTTAGCTTTCTGATTCTATATTACTATAACTCTGCTATGTCTGAAATTTAAGTGATTACAGGCAGGTATGGTGGAGTTCATTGGATTATTGAAGGTCAAAGTGATTAAAGGGACAGACTTAGCTATCAGGGACATGATGTCGAGTGACCCTTATGTTGTTTTGACTCTTGGACAACAGGTTGGTAGTTTGCCCTTAATCATTTCTTCCAAACAGGCTCTTTGTTCTCGTTGTCCATTTATTTGTAAATTGTTGCCATAAATTGGGATTATGTCAGCAAGTAATGATAAGTTCGTTCCAACCGTAATAGGGCTAGGCCAGGTTGGGCTAGAAGGGTTTCTTAATTGTCTTCTTTTTTCTTCTCATCAGAGTTCAAAACTGAACGTGAAACATTGGTTTCATCTGACTAATTCCTTTATTCCATCGCCTTGATATAGATGATAACATCATGCCTTCCTTTTTTTTTTACCCTGTTATGTTAGACTGTTCAGACAACTATAGTCAAGAGCAACTTAAATCCTGTGTGGAATGAGGATCTCATGCTATCTGTACCTCAATGTTTTGGGACCTTAAAGTTGGTAAGTCTTTCTTAAGCTCTTTTTTTTGGACTCCACTGTTCAACTATGCATATTAATCTTAATAAAATGACTGAAGTTTCCCATTGATTAGTTTACTTACGATTTGGAAATCTTTCTTTTTGTCTATAATAAGAAAGCAACATTTTGTATGATATAGTTTTGTCTTTTTTTATTTGCTTGCCAACTGAAGAACTTTTCTGACTAATCATAACTCCATGCTCGCTTCTGCTGGTAATGTACCTGGCATCTTGTTCGAGTTGCTGAGTGTGTTTCTAGCAACTTTTCTAATGTGTGATGCCAGATCTAGCATACATACAAATACATCTTGTTAATATTTATAAAGTTATGCCATGTATGCCAATTGCACGACAGAAATGCTAGAGAAAGAAATCTGGTAAACTTTAAGGTTTGATAGATTTATTTGTTTGCCTAGGTTTTCCTGTGGAAATTATGATTGCCATGACTTGGCTGATCATTTTTCCTTTCTTGGTTGATGAATAACTGTGGTCTACGGAAAAGTTCGATGCCTCCCTTTTTTATGCTTGTTGCATAGGAGTTTTGTAGTGATTATCCTGTCTCTTATTTTCGTTAAAATAAAAAACTAATCTGATAATCAACAGTACAATTCTGAAAATACTGCTGGTTATTTATATGGCTTTTCTACTCGTCACCATATTGCAGCAAGTATACGATTATGACACATTTTCAGCAGACGACATAATGGGAGAAGCAGAAATCGATCTTCAGCCCTTAATAACATCCGCAATGGCATTTGGAGATGCTGGATTGTTTTCAAATATGCAAATTGGAAAATGGCTGAAATCACACGATAATGCTCTCATAACCGATAGTACTGTTAATATTGTTGATGGCAAGGTGAAGCAAGAGATATCACTCAAGCTTCAGAATGTGGAATCAGGAGAACTAGATCTAGAGCTAGAATGGATGCCTCTTGAACAATAGGTACATATGAATCCATCCCAATTTGTTTTCTGGTATAGTCACACTCTTATAGAATGGTATTGTGTATTTTATTTTATTTATCTGTTTTTCTTCTCTTTTGGGCTGAAATTTTTGTCTATGCACACTTTGTGGTCAGTAGCTGTAATTCTTTCTATTCTAAAAAACTGAGCACTACCTTTTACATGGTTTGTCCTTGTTCTAACCTCTAAATATTCACAACAACTCCATGTGATATGATAGTTTGGAACATTGGAGGTGGAAATCAATTTAAGGTCACTGCATTTCAAATTTTCAATGTTCTTGTTAGAGGTCATTAATTCCTTGGATTTATTTTATGTGAGAAGCTACATTCTCCAGTTCTTCATTTTCGTTCAAAATTAAGCAACTAGTACCAAATTAAATACTGCACAATTAACTAGCTGCCATCGACACCATCGCAGCTAAATCATTGTTCATCTGCCAAGTCAATCTTTCGTTGAAGATGAACGTGGATGCGATGCCTATCTTTCTCTAAGGATAGGCGATTGCAGAATTGGGCAAGGTTTTTACTACTTCCGAGAAATTTGTGGATAATGTGAGTGTTGCTAAAGTTGCAGAAAGCTAGAGCGGTGTTCGAATGGCGTGGAATGTGTCCCTTCTTGTGGAATCTGAGGCACCGCATACTGTTAATTAATGTGTTGAACATAAAACTATTTGATGATTCTGATATTTAAAACATTTTTGAGGATATACAGGAGATGGTGTCTACTTTAGGTATCCCTGTTTTTCTTATGTTGGTAGATCAGATGAGGAGGCTGGGTAGCTCAAGATCTGCCTATATTTACCTGTAATGTCCTAAACAGTCTCTGTATGAGCTGAGCCACTATTTTGAGAGAAATTTGTTGGATGTTCAGACTTCTCTTCATGATGAAATCTCTTTCCCCAAAATAATAATAAAAAGGAAGTAAAAGGTGGTGTGGAAAAAAATAAAAAGTTGAGAAGTGGGTATAACATAAAGCTTCATCCTTCAGTTTCGTCATTCATGCCTTTTGAAGAAAGAAAGTAATAAATAATGAAACATGATTCCAACAATAATGGGTACCGTACCGCGTTCTAATCATTTTAATTTCAGAACTTATCAGATTTAAGATGAGAATATCATTTTCTTGCAGAAGAGGATGAACACAGAGAAAAAACTCAATCTAAATCCCAACAAATTTCTACTGTTTTCTGATTTATTGATACGTGACAATATATATTCCCAGCATACAAATAAGCAATAATTAATCATTATGACAACTCTTACAGTAAGAAAAATTGGAACTGGGAAATTCGTGGTGTAAATGTATCATAATAATTGATGATGGTTGATAACTTTATCTTTTACTTGTGATTATTGTTGGAAGATAATGGCAATGATCTTTGGTTCTTGACCTTATAAACGTAGAATAGCACAGAACCCACTAGTAAAGTGACACCTGTTATTCCAAACGCCGCCGTCGCCACCAATAATGCGTTTCTAAGGCGCGTATCTCCACCGTCACGGCGGGTCCACCATCCCGGCGCCTCGCTCGAATTCATCGCCTTCGGCAACGGCAATGCGGCATCCGGTGTCGGCGATGACCTTCCTCCAAAGAACGACAGCATCTCCGGCGACGATTTGTCTCCCGCCGGGGGAGGGCTCTGAAACTCCAGCCCGTGCTCCGACGGCCGAATCTCCAGCGCCGTCGTTTTGACGGCGAGGACCGCCACGATTAACGGCAGGCAAACGGCCATCGCCGCCGCTATTTTGATCGGAATCATCGGCTAGACGATTAATCGAACACTGCGGCTCGTTTGGGCTCTGTCTTGTTGGTGTTGGCACTATTATAACGCGGAAAAAACTTGGAAATTAGGCAATCGAAAGGGGGGAAACAGTAACTGAGAGTTGTTAAGAACAATCATGGGAAGAAGATTGGATTTGGCGTAAAGGGGAAGCAAACGAACGCGCTTTAAAATCTTTGTTTCTTCTTTTTCTCGTAACCTTTTTATCTGTGTTTGGTACTTTAGGAAAAGTTTGTGCTGAACCTGAAGCATCGCATTTCTCTCTGCTAAAAGATTTCATTTTTAAATACTACGTTGGCCTCATTCCTTTCAAAACATTTAATTTATACGCTCTCAAACTTCGGTTCATTTTAGATACCGTACTTTTCAGTATAATAGATATGGCCAATCTTCAAGTGCACAAAATAATGACATTCAAGATCACCAACTCGACTTTCAAGCTCATCAATTCTCGAGTCGAAGTTTGTATATAAGAAAAGGCATGAAAAGATTAACGAGTTTAAATAATAGATTGACACTGGATGACTACTTTTAGGGAATGAGCAACATATCTTAATCGTTGAGCTATGCTTAAGTTATGTATTATGTTGTATTTTTAAACATGGACCATTTTAATCTGTCGATTTCAATTTTGTCTCATTTTTCCATCAAAATTGTAGTACAACACTAAATTTATTAAAATGTAACCATAAATTTGTATTGAAATATTGTCCTCGGGAATAAAATTTGTGTTTAAATTTTGTAAGTTAGAGACTAAAATAATCATTTTTTAAAAGTATCGGGACAAAACCATATATTTTGAAAGTACATTAACTAACATGAACAAAAGTTAAAAATAAAGAGACCAAAATGAACCAAAGTAAAAAAATACATGCACCAAAATAGTATTTAAACATAGATTTTTCTAAAAGGTATTTTCATAAATTATCTTCAATTATTATTGGCTTAAATTACAATCCTTCAACTTTTAGGTTTTTGCTTATTAAGTTCTCGTACTTTTTAACGTCGTCTAATAGTTTATTGAACTTTCAATTTTTCGTACCATAGGTCTCTAAACTATATCTGTTAATATTTAATTTTATATCTAATAGATCTCTGACCTATTTGACATTTTTTAATTAATAAATTGATTAGACATAAAATTCTTTTATTTTCTTATCTAATAGGACCATAGGTCTCTAACCTTTTAATTGTGTACTTAATAAGTTTGTGAATTTAAAAAATGTTGATTAAACCACATATTTATTCAATAAAAAATTTAAAAACTCAAGAATCTATCAACATAAAAGTGATAATTTATGGACTTATTATACATTTTTTAGAATTCATGGACGTATTAAAGTTAAAATTAAAATTTCATATATCTATTAGACATAAATTTAAAATTTCAATGACTAAATTTGTAGTTTAATTATATACATATATTTTAACAGCGGAAATAACATTTTTTTTTAATTTACACCGTAATAAATGAATTAAAATAATTATAACTAATTGCTGAATATTCAAAAATTATTTATTTCCATTGATATGATTTGTATCTTTCAGTTTTGTACCAACTCTAATAATGGCTTGAATTTGATGCAACATTGACTCCAATATTAAAATAATTGCGATGTCGATGCCGAATTTATTTCTAGAATTGTATTTGACTTTTCAAACCCATTGTTCCTTCTTATTTTATTTTTTAAAAAATAGTGTGTGTATATATATTTGTTATTGTATTTTTATTTAGGTTAACTTAAATACATTGCTGAATTTTGTATTTGTTTTGTGCTTTAGCTGGTCCTTATGCTTTTGAAGATTTTGTTTTGACTAAAATTTTAAAATATAAAATATAAAATAAAAGGGTAGTTTTCAAAATATGGCATAAATAATAAAACAGGTAGAGTACTACTTCTAGGGTTAATTTCAAGAAATATATAAAAAAATAGTTATCCAACAGCATATAATTTATTAGTTTCCAGAAAAAGGGATATTAATAAAATACATATTTATGTTCAAGTACTAGCACCGCATGCATTTACAGGCAAAAATGTAATTTGCAATAAAGTTAAATGGAAATCACATAGAAAGTATGATAAAACTACCGTTTTGGTCCTGAAATGGGTGATATTTAAGTATTATGCAATTAAATATTTTTCTAATACAATAAATTGGAAATACGAGAATTTGAACCTCCATCGAAAAAAAGTAGTAGAGATAAAGTTAACACGGAGCTATATTAATATTTACCATTAAATATTTTTGTTTAATTTCCATCATCTCAGTTTATTTATCCATCTTTGCAATTAATTTGTATTGACTATAGAATACTTAAACTTAGGGAAAAAAACATTTCCTCAGCATTTAATGTTTTAGGTGGTACCATTGGCTGTGATGTGATGCAAATTCGAATAAAATCTACATTTTTTTTTTTAACATAATAGAATATTGATGGATTTTTTGGGGTGATCAGATATTTAATTTTTAAATGCGGCATCAGGGCTATTGAGTGATGAGTAGCAAAATAATAATTAGTTTTTAAAAGTTAGGATTAAAATAGAAATCATATTCCTAAATAAGAAATGTAGTTGGAAGAGAAATTCAGTATTGTTATCGTTTCCGGCTGTGACCGTTGTCCCACGCCAGAAGAGTGAAGGGCGATCCGTGAATCAACAATTTTTTTTTTTCCTTTTTTTGTAAAATTTATTTAATTACTGTGTCGTATAGTAGCGTAAGGAGCAGCCAATGAGATATGGAGATGAGATTTCGGATTTGGGCGTGACCATTGAAATGCGACGGCCAATCGCCATGCGAGTTGGAAGCCCCTGCTCCTGCTCGAGCTTCCACAGATAAGAGACGCAGTTAAATTCAAGCTTCTCTGCTCACCGATGACCAATTACTCCGACGCTCACATCTGCCAGTGCCTCACCCGCATAGCAACCGCACGCCGAGCTTCTCCGGTCACAATCGCCGGAACCAGGCTGCAGACCGGCCAGCAGTTCGTTGAGAGTGTTTTCGCGCTCGCCCTAGGGCTGCTTGATCTCGGCCTCCTTCCGGGACACGTCGTTGCCATCTCTGCTTTCAACAGGTTCTCCACCTTTCAATTCGTAATGCTTTGATTTTGTTGAACCATGTGTAGTGCAGTGGTGGGTTCGAAATTAGTAATGATATATTGGATTTTAGACGTCGGAATTGTGACTTTCAGTTTTCTGGTTACCAGTGATTGGTACTTGGAGTGGTTACTAGCGGTTGCATTCGTTGGAGGTATTTCTGCTCCTCTGAATTACAGATGGGTATGTCAAAATTTTCATTATGTTGAATGTAGGAATTATTATTATGATTTATGTACATACGTGCGCACGTGCATATAGATTAATGATGGCTCTCAGTGCGTATTCCTACTTTTGTATTTGAAAGTCATGTAGTAATACGCGTTTGCATGCATGCAATGTATATAAAAGGCATGTACGCTATCTATACATCTTTCGGTACTCGGCTATGAGGGGTCTCTAAGTTGACAAGTTGTTAACGTCTTCTAGCAAGGACAGTTTCCAAATAGGAAGCTTTGGAGATTTTTAAGATTGGTATTTTTTGTTAAGATTTATAAATTTAGAGGGTGTCACAGAATAGAATAAAAAATGGCTACTTGAGTCCAAACTTGAAAATTCGATGTCATGCCAATTGTTTATTTGGTCGAGTGGATCTTGCTCTAACTGGCATGTGTGAAATACATTTTCTCAACATGTAGAGCGTTGAAGAGGCAATATCTGCAATGGTAGCTGTGCAGCCAGTGATGTTGGTCATTGATGAGGGCTGTTGTCAATGGTATACAAAGCTCCAGAACGACGACATACCTTCCTTGAGGTGGCATGTCTTAATTGGTTCCCATTTGCCGTGTTATGATAAAACAAGGGGAGGTGTGTGGTTTCCTTGATATTTACCATACAAAAGCAAAGTGGAAGGAAGCTGAAACTATGTTATTTTAATTTTATGTTTCTTTTTTCTTTTGTTGTTTTATCAACCTTTCTAATGCAAGCACCTTCATCTTGCCTCGCCAGCACTAACCTCTGAAGAATTGAAGAAGCATTATGTAATAAACCTACCACCGAATTTCCTCCATGCACCTGACGGTGCAGCTGTAATATGCTTTACTTCAGGTCCGTGTTCTGCTCGACCACAACTTCACCTTTTTTTTCTTTTGCACACACAAAATATCCATATTTGGGGTGTAATATCGGAGAGTTAAGATAATCTGGTTGAAATGACACTGAGCACCAAAGTTGTCAACAGTCCTTCAAGAGTTCAAGTTTTGTAGCAAGAATTGCTCTATCGAGTAGTTTGGCATCATGCCTTTCAAAGCAGAGCAACCGGGGATCTTTCTTGTAGTTACTGAAATATTAAAATGACTCTGGTATTATTTGAAGCTCAGAGTTCACCATTTAAGTTTAGAACTCACCGATCTGTTTCTAATTGTAATATTCCCTGTAGGAACAACGGGAAGGCCAAAGGGAGTTACCATCACGCATTCAGCTCTGATTGTGCAGGCTCTAGCAAAAGTTGCTATTGTTGGTTATAGTGAGGATGATGTATGCTTTTCTGTAATATCTGAAGGCTCTATCCATTAGGTTTAGAGCATACAAAGTCTTAGTATATTCCTTGAAGGGCATTCAGTGGATCAATTCTAGAGCTCAAGTAGTGTTCAAGCAGGAATCTCCTGATGGTTTTAAGTGTCGCATTTTCAGGTTTATTTACATACTGCTCCTTTGTGTCACATTGGTGGTTTGTCATCAGCCATTGCCATGCTAATGCTTGGAGCTCGCCATATATTAATACCTAAGTTTGAGGATAAGTCTGCTGCTGAAGCAATAGATCTATATGGTGTGACTTCTTTAATCACTGTCCCAGCAATGATGGCTGATTTAATTTCTTTAATCAGGTGTCTTTATTTGTGCTTTGTCGGACTTGTACTGTTTCTCTTAAAAATGTCCTCTCCTTGATGAATTTTGTTTCTTATAAAATAATTCAAAAAGAGAGAGAGAGGGAGAGAGAGGAAAAAAAAGAGAAACCATTCTTGTGAGAAGATATATTCATGGTCATTCTCTTGAAATTGAGGCATTTGTAATGTCAATGATCTTACCAAAGGAAACTTTAGTCATTATAGGGAATTTTTGTTGTAAAAAAATAGCATGGAAATTTTATGGCTTGTTTGGCAACAGTTGTCAAAACACTTTTATATTTCTATAGAACAAAAATTTGATGAAACATGTTTTTGATTAA